GGGATCCGAACCTGTGGCCTTGGTGTTATCAGCACTGCACTCTCCCGAGTGAGCCACAGGCGGCCCTGTGTCTTAGTTTTTTTAAAAAAATTGTTTTAAGTACTAAATAATTTTAAAAATTAAAAAAAACTTATGAAATAGGGATATAAAGAAAAAATATTCATTTATATCTGTTCAATGTGTTTGTGTTTTGAGCTAAGTGTTATTACAAAAGAGTCAAAAAATTTTTTTAAATTAAAAAGTTTATAAAGTAAAAAAATTATAGCAAGCTGAGATTAATTTATTATTGAAAAAGTTTAAAGTTTTTTTTATAAATTTAGTGTGTCCTAAGTACACGGTGTTTTAAAGTCTACAGTAGTGTATAGCAATGTTCTAAGACTTCATATTCACTCACCACTCACTCACTGACTCACCCAAAGCAGCTTCCAGTCTTGCAAGTTCCATTCATGGTAAGTGGCCTATATGGGTGTATCTTTTTAGTGTATTTTCTATGTTTAGATATGGTTAGATACACAAATACCATTGCCTACAGTACACAGTATGGTAACATGCTGTACAGATTTGTAGCCTAGGAGCCATAGGCTATACCATACAGACTAGGTGTGTGGTAGACTATACTACCTAGATTTGTGTAAGTGCACTCTATGATATTTATGCATGACAAAATTTTCAGAATATATCCCTGTCGTTAAGCAAAACATGACAGGTATTTTCTATACCTAGTTTCTGTGGACTGAATGCTTGTGTTCCCCCTAAAATTCATATGTTGAAACCCTAACCCCCAATGTGATGGTTTGGAAATGAAGCCTTTTGATTCGAGGTGGTTAGGGTTAGATTAGGTCAGAAGGATGGGACTATCATGGTAGGATTCGTGCTTTGATTGAAAAAAAAAAAAAAGGAGACATGGGATCTCTTTTTCTGGATGCATAAACCAAAGAAGGCCATGGGAGGCCATAACCAGGGGTGGGTGGGCCTCCCTGCTGGGACCCTGATTTCAGACTTTCACCCTCCAGAACTGTGAGAAATAAATGTTTGTTGTCACCACCAGTGTACGGTATTCTATTATAGCAACCTGAACTGACTCAGACACCTGTTAATATCATTCATTCTTTCACCTGTCATGTTTTGCTCTTTCCACCAGATATCTAAAAATCCTAGTTATCTTTTCTTTATGTCCCGTTATCACCATCCAAGCACCTACCACAGGAAACAACAAAGGAAACCCTCCCAAGACTGTCAATCTTAAAATATTAACAATATGAAAACCAGCAGGACTGCTTGGTGAGGGGCCCACTCCCACAGAGGAAGTAGAGCAATGTGTCCCTCATACAGCTGTCTAGCTGTGTGTGGCATCAATACTTCTTCTACGTCTCCCTCCAGGGACACAATTCCAGGACAAAACAATCGTTCCAAGCGTTTTTGTTAAACCCAGTGATGCATTGCTTTGGGAAAAGTTTAGGTAAATCAGGGCTTCCTCGTGTTTGAGAACTGAAAACTGTAG